ATGGCAGCAACTGTGGGATGTCGCAGTGAAGGCCACATGGACGCATCGTCTCATTCCAAACATCAAAATCTGGCTAAGTCGCAAGCATGAAGAGGTAAATTATTATACTACGCAAATGCTATCTCGGCTGTTTTCGAGCCTACCTACACCGCTTCAAGCACGATAGCTCACTGGATTGCCCATATTGTTTGGGCGAAATCGAAGATGCTGAGCATGTGTTTTTCGTGTGTCCGCGATTTGATGCTGTACGGGACGATGTAGAAGAGATATTGAGACGCAGAATTACCCCAAGTAATGTTGTTGAAGTGATGTTGACAAGTGAAGCTGCTTGGAACGCCATAGACAGATTTGCGAGAGAGGTGCTAATTGACCTGCGTTCTATGGAAAGAGAAAGGACGAATGGGACTTCGCCCATTTAAAAGATGAGTATAAAATCAAGTTAATAATTATAACATTCTAGATCCTCCATTCACGAAGTAATGCCTAACGGCGGTTTCCGTGGTAGCCAGAGGCAAGGGCAAAGCGGAGGTTTTAGTCGGTATTATACTAGGGCGGTATTAAGTCCGACATACCCAGACAAAATACCAGTCCCTTCACTACACAAAAAATCCACCTCCACTAGGGTTCCTGCAATAAAAGGCCGAACTTGAAGGTTAAAAAGATCATTAGAAAATGTAACATCCTCCGAAGAGGTCGGTCGGGTCCAGGCGCCAGCCCCTGGAGAAAAGAACCGTTCCAGCAAAGGTCAGATGTATTGTGTATTAGCTATTCCCTCCGTTAATCCGTCGTTACGTTAGTCCGTTACTCCGTTACGTTACTCCGTTAGTAATTAATAAAGATTTATCAGAACGTTAGAGTTTAGGCATAGGACATGGCTGTACGTAGGTACAGTGATTTAGTAAAGTCGGTAATAGAATTTCGTAATTGTATAGAATAGGAAATTGGTAAAACTTGTTTAGGATTTGGTATAATTATTTTTGTAGGATGGCGTAGAATTAGTATTTGATTCGTTAAAATTTGTTTAAAATTTGGTATTATTATATTTGTCAGATTTGGCATAATTATTTGTGTAGAAGGTGTAAAAGGGTATGGGCGTGTTTCCATACAGAATTGGCCCCACCCTGGTATTTAAATAATTTTGATGCCATTTTATAGGTATTTTAGAGAAAATTCGAAATACCAAATTTCAAATCCGTAGCTCATCATTTGTCCGAAATATCAGTGAAAACATGTGAAAGTGGCCCCTTTTTTCAAACTCACTTTTTGTCGGAAATATGAGAGATATCGAAAAACTGTTGCCGTCATTCTATTTGTACTGATCTTGTCTATGTTGTTCGTAACAAATAATGTGAAAAAATTATTTGTTAGTGCGTGAAAATGTGAAAATGATTTTTCATTTTCCATTTTCTACCAGTGCGGCTTATTTGACTACTTTTATATGAGCATCATTCGAAAGCCTGTACATTTTTCTTCTATTATTGAATAATTCATTTAAATCTAAGTGGAACTTTTGGAGAAAAGTTGGAAAAACTTAAGCTAGTACGCGCGCTGCCAGTACAAGAACGCTCATATAAAGTCGCTTTGCAAGAGCGACGAGCAAGCATAAGGCTCGCCGTTAGTGCGCGTCCCGACAAATTCTGTATATAAGTATGGAAATATTTATTAAAAATCAAAATTTATTTATATCTTGTATATAAGTATATTCATTAGTCATAATAAAAAAAAACAATAATTATTATTATTGATTATTTTCATTCGCCGTATAAGTTCTTACTAATATATTCCAATGTATAAAAAACTTAAAATTTCATTATTTTTCATATATTGAAAGTATATTGAAAAATATATCTCTGTGAGCAATTTGTTTACACATAGAATTTCACAAATTATAATTATTGTGGTTTTCCATGGTAAAATAGCAATTATTATTTTTTGAATCGATATTAGTTTTGCAGAAAATATATTTTCTTTTCTGTGCACTATTTATAACTTGATTGAAATTGCAATAATTTTACATTTTAGAGACTATTTTATCATGATATCGAAAAATTGCAAGTATTACAATAAATATTTACATAGAAAGGGAATTGAATTGAGAAAACTGTGAATGATGTAGAATTGTATAGAAGTTACATAGAAAAAATGATTTTAGTTGTTTTTACTATTCGCTGAAAAAATAATAGTTGTCATTTGGATAGCCATGGATAGTCATAATAATTATAATTTTAACAACAGAGATATATTTTTTGTAATATATTTTTAATACTTAATATATTTTCAATACTTATATACTTGCGTTGAATAGCTATGAAATGTATTCTGACATATATTTTTATTGATTTTTAAATAAAATATAATAACTTTGCAAAAAATCAAAAAAGGTAATGAATTAAAATTAAAATACTTTTTATTGCCGACGTAAATATATGAAAATATTGAAATTTTAAGTTTTTCATACATTAAAATAGAATAGTCAGAATCATTTTATAGCTATTCAAGGCAAGTATAAAAGTATTGAAAATATATTAAGTATTAAAAATATATTACAAAAAATATATCTCTGTTGTTAAAATTATAATTATTATGGCTATCCATGGCTATCCAAATGACAACTATTATTTTTTCAGCGAATAGTAAAAACAATTATAATTATTTTTTCTATGTAACTTCTATACAATTCTACATCATTCACAGTTTTCTCAATTTAATTCCCTTTCTATGTAAATACATGTATTTATTGTAATACTTGCAATTTTTCGATATCATGATAAAATAGTCTCTAAAATGTAAAATTATTTCAATTTCAGTCAAGTTATAAATAGTGCACAGAAAAGAAAATATATTTTCTGCAAAACTAATATCGATTCAAAAAATAATAATTGCTATTTTACCTATTCTCCATGGAAAACCACAATAATTATAATTTGTGAAATTCTATGTGTAAACAAATTGCTCACAGAGATATATTTTTCAATATACTTTCAATATATGAAAAATAATGTTAAGTTTATAATTATAATGTTAAATAAAATAATTTTAAGTTTTTCATACATTGGAATATATTAGTCAGAACTTATACGGCGAATGAAAATAATCAATAATAATAATTATTGTTTTTTTTTATTATGACTAATGAATATACTTATATACAAGATATAAATAAATTTTGATTTTTAATAAATATTTCCATACTTATATACAGAATTTGTCGGGACGCGCACTAACGGCGAGCCTTATGCTTGCTCGTCGCTCTTGCAAAGCGACTTTATATGAGCGTTCTTGTACTGGCAGCGCGCGTACTAGCTTAAGTTTTTCCAACTTTTCTCCAAAAGTTCCACTTAGATTTAAATGAATTATTCAATAATAGAAGAAAAATGTACAGGCTTTCGAATGATGCTAATATAAAAGTAGTCAAATAAGCCGCACTGGTAGAAAATGGAAAATGAAAAATCATTTTCACATTTTCACGCACTAACAAATAATTTTTTTACATTATTTGTTATGAACAACATAGACAAGATCAGTACAAATAGAATGACGGCAACAGTTTTTCGATATCTCTCAAATTTCCGACAAAAAGTGAGTTTGAAAAAAGGGGCCACTTTCACATGTTTTCACTGATATCTCGGCCAAATTATGAGCTACGGATTTGAAATTTGGTATTTCGAATTTTCTCGAAAATACCTATAAAATGGCATCAAAAAAATTTAAATACCAGGGTGGGGCCAATTCTGTATGGAAACACGCCCATACCCTTTGTATTGAATTTGGTAAAAATTGTACTTGATTTATTAAAATTTGTTTAGGATTTGAAATTATTATTTGTGTAGGATTTGGTACAGATACTTGTGTAGGATTTGGTATAGTTACGTGTGTAGGATCTGGTATAATTTGATTAGCAAAATTAGAAGGGGAAGTGCATGAAATGTTTAAAATAGCAGTTTCGTGTGTGTCTTCATCATTAATTACAGTCTGTGCTTCAAATGTTATAGAAGCTTCTAAAATACTATCGAATGATAAAGTTCCGATTTGTTTTTAACGTCAGTTTGCTCATGTGTCAATTCCTGTTCTAAAACAGAAACTTCTTCATAGTAATTAAATTCGTGTATAATGTCAGCATGTTTTGGAAACAGAAAATTATAATACTTCATTAAATATTGTTATTTGGTTATGGGTGCTATAACGTAGCGGCGGAGCTCTCATGCCATATCCAAAGGACCTGTGTCCAGCCGAAAATATAGAATCTATAGAAACGAATAGAGTGGAACTCGAATGTGAGCTCCATAGAAAAGTATAGTTGGCACAAAGAGGTATAAATGTGTATAAATGTGTCGATACTAATTTATAAGAAAGTAGCATTGTGTGAAGACTAATAAGTAAATTGGAATGTTTATCCTCTAAGATGTTGATCCTCATTGCTACAGTCTTGATGCAGTAATCAATTCAAACGTGTTTCTCGCCTGATTCACTCGGGACTGATTTATTGATGTTTTGAATTATTTCTATTAAAATGTAGTACTAGTGTTTATTGCAATAATCAGATCTTTGAGGTAATTTTGATTATTTATTCATTTCTGTACGCATTCGAACAAAATGACTTACTCATAATGGACAAAATAATAGAGTACTATTTCGTAAACACTACATTCGAGACCAAGGAAAAGGAGAAACATGTCATAGATGAGCGGTTTATGACTTTTACTCTAACAGCTTCTAATAACAGACCAAGGAGTCCACCGGAAGAAACATACTAAATATACAAGTACATTGCATATATTAAAATATTGAGAACAGGAGAAAACATCTTAAAAGTCTCAAAAGTAATGGCTATGTTAATTATATGTTTCAGATAAATGTTATTCAAGTAAATAACATTCAAAAAACATAATCTAATGTTTTAAGTGAGTGTAACGTATAGAAAAAAACTAGAAATTATTTGCAATATGATTATAATATTTTTATTATAAGCTTTATAGGTACAAATTTAATGATGTGTCATATTGTTATTACTGTAGTAAAACATATTTGTTCTTAGAGAAATGTATAATCACAGCCATTAAAGGTTTTACTGTATTTGTAATTAACCCGCATGATGATATATTTATATATTTTGCAAATGCAATTAAACAAAATATTTATCCAATAGAAGGCAAGTTATCACTGTCCAAGCCTGTGTTAGATGGTCTGAAACAAGAAATGAACGAGATTAATATTTGTTATATATGTATATATATATATATATATATATATATATATATATATATATATATATATATTGTTAAGAACTATTATGTATTTATTATAATATTTTATGTTTAACACATGTTCATTAAAATATGTTTGTAATTAAATCTCGTATGTTGGTACCATTTATATAAAACTTTTATAAATCGACCCTTATCCGACAATAAGGGTCGAATCAAATCAGGTACAAAACTGATTATTAGTGAGCGGGAGTTAGTTATGTTTGAACCGCCAACAAGTACAGATTAAAAATATCAACACCCAATAATGTAAGTTACAATTTAAAATAAAATCTATAAATCTTAAGAAGTGTTTATTTTTACATATCAAGAAGAGAACCCATAATTAATATCTCTTCATTTGGTGGCAGCTAATTACGATACCTACTCCGAAATCAATAATAAAACTAGCTGTAAGTGGAATTCTGTCTTGAGGCAATTATGGCATCGTGCCTTAAGGCAAATTGCTGAAACTTCCCGCACCGTAACGAAATGTTCGAGGAATACTGAATGTTTTCAAATAGATTATTATAAATATTGTAACATTGTGTAATATTTATAAGAATTATATAAACCGAATTGCAGAGTTGAAATTATTTCTAAAGTATATTAGAACTATAGTCAGGATTAAAAATAAAATCTTAAATATTTTCGATATACAAAATACTAAAAAAAAAAAAAAAAAAAAAAAAAAAAAAAAAAAATGAACAAAATTTTTTTTTTCAAAATCAATTATTTTGTTAAGACAAGCAGAAAGTTCTTTGAATCATTTAAATCGGACGCTTAGTTCTCTCAAAAACTGCCATTTTTTACATATTTAGCTCCGTATCTTCGAAATGGCTGGGCCTGCCTTTGCCAAAAACTAATAAACACTTCTCCCAATCATTACTAATTGAATGTTTTTTAGATCATTCAAATCGGATACTCCGTTCGCTCAAAAATTCGATTTCTATTTTCTGCACTCTTTGCTCCGTATCTCCGAAACGGCTGGACCTGCCTTTGCCAAAAACTAATCAGCTCTTTTCCCAATCAATAGGAATCGAATGTTTTTTGAACCATTCAAATCGGTTGATCCGTGCGCCCTAAAACGTGACTGGAAATTTGTATCCACACATACATACACACACACACACATCCATTTTTTCTGAGGTATGCCAAAACGTTCAGAAACCTTCAAAACGTCGAGAAATGTAAAAATTTTCAATTCCGATTTTCGGCCCATTACAATAACTTACCCTACGGGAAGTTAATAATAAAAATATGTGTGTGTGAAAACAAACTTCAACTAGTGAATTCAAATTAAGTGTTAATATATCAAAATTGTGGTGATAAAATTGTGGCGTTCCTAAATAATAAACAAAATCATAACTAATTATTCTACAAATATCAATCAATAAGTAATAACTGTAATAAATAAAAACCAAAACTATGATAAAATAGTACTCCAGTATAAAATACTACAATAATAAAACAAATCATCAAATAAAACTAAAATAATGTATTAAAACCGAGTAATTAAGTGCATTACCGAACTTAATAAAACGAATATTATCTATGAGAAATAAAACCAAAACTTGAAAAGTGATTCATCTACGCTATTTTGAGACGCGGAAAGAGTAGTGGTAATTTTCCAAGAAGGCGATTCTATTGTGTATATTTGCGGCTGGATAAGGATTTATACCTAAGCAAGGGCAAGGGACCATTCAATCACAAGATGGAGAATACAATCCGTAATGGTAATGAAAATAAATTAGATTTAAATTTAGCTCTAGCTATTATTCCAAATTTTGATGAAAATGAAATCAATGTACGTGCATTTATTGATGCATGTGACTCGTTACATGTAAATTTATTACCCGAGGAAGCACATAAATTATTTTTAATAGTAAAAAGTATGTTACCAAGTAAAGTATTAGTAAAAGTTATCCGTAATAAAATTTCAAATTATTCAGTATTAAAAACACATTTATGTAAAGAATATTATGACCAAACTTCTGTTTCCACTTTATATTCCAAACTTATCAATATTAAGCAATTTCAAAATGAATCAGTTAAATATATACAACATAAAAGAAATGTTAGGAAGTATTGCGTATATTGAAAAAATTATTCGAAGCATCGCGGTAAATATTGCAAAGAGAAGCCGAATCAAACCGATTGTTAATCGTAGGTAATATTTGTATAAAAATACTCTCAGCGAACTTCCTGCGTAAAGTGTTGGCTTCTCGATGAATAATTCTTGGATTGGTGAAATTAAAAGAATGTTTAAAGTTGGAGACGTGTTCGGTGATCATGGTTTTATTTTGTTTCCTGTTAAGACTGTTAAGTTCGTGTTGGCGCATTCTTTTTGAGAGAAATTGTGAAGTTTCTCCAACATAACAACTTGAACAATCATTACATACAATGACATATACAACGTTTGACGTGCGGGAAATAGGGGTAGGAGTTTTTAAATTAGTGTATAAGTCTGTGAGAGTGTGTCCAGTCGAACACATTAGTTTCAGACCATGAAAAAAAAGTTTTTTCCATGAGTGGAAAAGGCAATCGATGTACGGTAATGAGATGAAGAAACCCTTAACCCTGTTAAGGGTTAAGGGTTTGTGAAGTGATGCTATTTTGTTGTGAATGGGAGGTAAATGAGGAAGATGTACGGAATTTATTACGAAGAAATGGTAATCTATTATTAATTACTGAGCGTAAAAGTTGTAGTGGATAGGAATTATTTTGAAGGGTAGAATATATCAAATTAATATTTTTTTCCCAATGTGATGGATGAGAAAGAAGGATGGCATGGTCTAGTAAGTTGATGATAGATGCAATCTTAGTCGATTTGGGGTGATAGGAATGGTAGTTTAAATAACGTCCAGACCAAGTGGATTTTTGATACCAACATGTAGTGATGGAGCCGTTATTTATAAAAAGGGTAATATCTAAAAAAATAATGGAGTTGTTAAGTTGGGTCTCAACGGTAAAACAAAGGTGTGTGTCGAAATTATTAAAAGAATTTAGGAAATTGGTTATATTGTGAGTAGGAATGCAAGTTAAAATGTCGTCAACGTAACGTTTGTAAAAAAGAGGTACATAAGACAAGGTAATTTTCTGTTTATCACATATTTTTCAGCTTGGAGTATATGTGTGTACAAGAGTAAAATGTGTGCGTGTTTGCGGAAAATAGTGGAAACTGTATCGTTATTGGATGAGAGAACGAGATAGAGAGAATTTTAGTGGTTTCATATTACGAAGATTTTCTCAGCGATCATGCGCAGTAGGAACATAGAAAATATATGGCATGTGGAAACAAACCATAATCAACGGTTAAACATAATATGTGAATAAAAATGAAAATATAGAAACATAATAAAACTATGATAGACAATGTTAAAAAATTTTTACCAAGCTGACAACATGTTCGTTTGGAATAAGCTATTTTATAATAAAATATTTATTTTATATTTATAAATTTTAAATTTATTAATTTATAAATAAAATTTAAATTTTTAATTTTAAACGTATTTTACAAAATAATTACACTTCTAACTAATGCTAAAAAACTACCAACGAAAAAAAATACTTTTATTATGGATTTTCAAAGATTACCGTTTATCTCCCGATAGCAAGTCATGAGAATCAAGGTAATAGCTAGTTATACGTATTTTAAATATTGTTGTTAAACAATGCTTAACTTTACTGGTTTTTGACACATGGGTGGTGGACCTTTTTAACCCCGGACCTTCATATAATACTATCTGTATCTTTTTATAAATTCTAAAGTTTCTTTTATACTATCTTATCTTTCGATAAATTCTGGGAAATTATAACTTGGAAAATGTTATTCGACCAAATGTCCCTGCGATCGATACCAAATTTAGATTCTGAATTTAAAGACCATAAATAAAAAATAAAATAACCTAGAAAATGTCTTATGCATATCAATAAGTATATAATTATACAAATAAGATCCTTCAGAGCACCGTGTTTGAGAAAAATATGACTTGCAAAAAAGGTGCTACAACGCCAAAAAATGCATTTTCATATTAACATTTCAAAAAAGTCGATATTTTGAGTTTGGGCCAGTTTAATAACGTTTTTGTAAATAAATAAAACTACTTACTACAATTTAATCATAATTCAATAATATTCACGTAAAACATACTATTAAACGTAATTGAATATCATCTGTCAAAAACGTTTGACATTTCACGTATTAGCCTTCGTCCATTGTTTTATTTAAATTACGCTTCTACAAAAATTTTCAAATTAAAAATGTAAAGTTTCTGCGAGATTTTGAAATATTATCTCACCTTTCCGACAACCTACTGATTAGCACGAATTTTTCAAGACTAAGACTGGCCAAATCGGTTTAGCCGTTTTCGAGTTTTACCGAATCATTTGTTCGAGAGCTCCATTTTTATATATAAGATATATATATATATATATATATATATATATATATATATGTATATGTGTATGTATGTATGTATATATATTAAAACGAGTGTGCTGAGTCGGCTGAGTGTGCGACGCTTACTGATGGCGAAAGTTTTACAGCAGGCATCGGGAGCGGATATCTGCTCAACAACTTCACATTAGCGGCAGTACAATGTGGTAAAAAGTACCGGCTCTATCCACAAAATTTCACTAAAATACATATAAGATAATCAACAACCAAAGCTTCCAAATGGATAGCGTGATAGCAATCAGCTTGTATGTGATGTATCACGCTTCAACGGTCTCACTCAGAGCACCAGAACCCTCACTGGGGGTGCTCCCACAGCCCAAATCCGTATACCCATGCTGTGAGATCAAAATCAAAACACCAGGCCGGGCGATCTTTCCCCAAAACCGTAAAACCCCAAATTATCCCACAACTCGCGAAACTCGATTTTATCCCCAATTTATTTTTTAAACACCCCGAGTATAACCCACATACATTATATCAAA